TCCTGGTCATTTGTCTCCTTTTGTCATACATTCCTGGGAGTCTAACTATGGGACATATATACACCATCATCCACCCAACTTACATCGTAGGAAGACACGACTCAGACCATCAGATGGACAAACATTGGCTTACTCGTTATACATATTGTCGGAATTTGTATTATGAGGGTTTTTGTTGAGTGATACAACAAATAAATCTTGATAAATGTGCTTTATTTGGATATTTGCAATGCTCTTATAATGATGTTTGGCTGATCGCAGAGCCTGGAATGAATGGAAGGGTTGATCGATCTTCCAATAAAACGGTAAATGGATGCGGTCGGTTCTCCGTATCGGATTTGGCGGTAAGAGGGCGGATTGTCTGTGACGTCACATAGAATTCCGGCGGGAGATTTGAATGAAGCAATTAGAAAGTTTAGCCAATGACAGTTATAGACGTTTCCTTCAGATAGTAAAACATCTTCTTTCCTACATAGAGTGTGAAGGAGGTGATGAGATCTGTTCCCTCAGTCGGGAGGATCGTTGTTCGGTATATATTGAACGATCTCTGATCTTCAGGAGAAACTCATCACAACTAAAGGAAGGCGGATAAGATCAGTCCCTGGAATAAGATGTCATTTCCCCAGAGTCTCACACTGAAAGCATTTTCTATTATTACTGTATAATTGTCATCAACATGTATAATATATTACTATAAATATATTTATACCATTGTATCATTTAAATGATAACAACGCATACAAAAAAAGTCAGTTATTTTAGATTTTGCAACAATATCACTTGAGGATGATCGACTTGGGGGAGGAGCCACGCCATACACCTACAATGGTCAGTTCCTGTTTTCCTCCTTTTTTCCTATCTCCTGATTTTCCTCCCTGAGACTGAATCGGTTGATAAAGAGAAGGTTTATAGAACTGTGTATGGAGATGTGGGTGGCTCTGAGAAGAGCTGTTGTGTTGGGTAATAGAAGTTAATTGTGATGGGCCTAACCGTTTGCGGGTCGAACATTCGAACCGAATAGATGTTCGACGACGAACTTCAAACTCAATGCAAGTTTGGGGGACTCACTTGTAAATTCAAAAGTGCCCATTTTGAAGGCTTCAATGCACGTTTTTGGCCGTAAAAGTGGTATGGAGACATGAATCAGTGAAAACATTTTTTTTTCAAAAAGTACAGTTTTAAAGGGGCAGTCATTTTTCATTGTTTAAAGTAAACAAATAATTACTTTAAATATTATGCCTGGGGGTCCCTTTACCCGCAAAGCTGCACATCTGTGCAATGTATAGAACCTGCTGCAGCATGACTTACATTTTTTTTATATTAAATTTTTATTAAAAAAATAAATTAAAAAAAAATGGGGTCCCCCTCTAAGTCTTACCAGACCCTTTAGGTCTGGTAGGAAGGTTAGGAGGCACCCCACAGTAATAAAACAAAAAAAAAAAACGTTTAGGCTTGGTAGGTCTTTTAAGTGGAACCACTCCCCTCAAAGAAATGGGTAAAAAAAATGTTTGGTCCCCCCTAAGTTCTTACCAGACCTTTGATCTGAGCACAGGGAGGGAGCAAGGGACAAGGGCCTTCCCAAAAACATTGGCCCGGTGGATGTGGGGGACTGGGCAAAGGGAGCTTGTTGTTTGTGAATGAGTAAGGGGTTCTTGTACCCATTCATTAAATGGTTAAATGCAGTAAAAAAAAATAGATCAATCTTTTGAAAAATCTCTCTAATTTAAACAAAAGCAAAACAAATTTTAACAAGTCCTTTAATAATAATTTAGAACAAAAATAAAAAATCGCTCCATCATTGTAATGTATTGTCAATCACGGGGTCCAGCGTTGTCACAAGGATGCCGACTAACCAAAATTAAAACAAACCAAAAATTAAAAAAAAAAAAAAAAAGTAGCTATCGGTGACATCCCCAACTGCTTTTCCCAATTGTTTACATCTGACCGGCAACTGTCAGACCTGTTCTATTGCAAAGAGTGTTCGGCAGGTGCGGACAGGTGGGTGGGCTTAGTTTTCTTTTTTAAATTTTGGCAAGTCGGCATCATCAGGACATCACTGGATGCCGTTACTGACGATGGATTACATCGATGGAACCATTTTTTGTCATCCTGAGGATTTACCCCCCTTCCTGACCAGGCCTCTTTTTGTTATTTGGTGCTGCACTATTTCAACTGGTAGTTGCGCGGTCATGCAATGCTGTACCCAAACAAAATGTGTGTCCTTCTTTTCACACAAATAGAGCTTTCTTTTGGTGGTATTTGACCACCTGTGCACTTTTTATTTTGTTGTGCTAATAAAAAAAAGACCACAAATTTTGAAAAAAAGAAATACTTTTTCAAAGTTAGAATACATTTTGGCCTAAATGTATGACTGTTACATGTGTTTGGTAAACAAAACCCAATAAGAGTGTATTTATTGCTTTGTGTGAAAAGTTATACCGTCTACAAACTATGGTATACGTACTGCAATTTACACCATTTTTTGCTATACAGCGCTGCGCTAGTTTAACTGACAATTGCGTGGTCATGCAATGCTGTACATAAATTACATTTCTGTCCTTTTTTTTTAAAAGAAACATATACATTTTTCATTTTTCTCATGGTAGTATATGATCACCTGTGCATGTTTTTTTTTCCACAATAAACAAAAAACAGACTGAAAATTTAGGAAAAAAAAAATTCTCATTTCTGTCATAAACAATATCCAAAAAAACTCAAATGTTGTCATAAATGTAGGCCAAAATGTATCTAAATGTATAAAAACATGGGGGGGGGGGGGGGTAAGAGAGATTCCAAAGCAATTTCCAGGAAAAGCTTTGTTTATCTCCAGTTTATTCTTTGCAGTTATATTTTGTCCCACCAGCCCCTCTGTACTAGATTGTAAGCTCCCTGGAGCAGGGCCTCCTAACCCTCTTGTATTGAATTGTATTGTTGTTGTATTGTCTCCATTTATATTTTTACAGCACTGCACAAAGCGTTGGCACTATATAAATCCTGAATATTAATAATAATAATAATAATAATAATGATAATAAACCACCATCATCAGATAATATTAATACTATTCCATTCTTCTTGGTCTGAGCAAAAGGGGACACCCGGATCCACCACATGGCAGATAATTGTAGGATTTCCAGCAAAGGTCTCATTATTGAAATGATCTCTGGGAGAATCAAATGTTGATGGATTGCAACAATGTATCAAGCAGAGAAGAAAAGAGAAACATATTTAAAGTAACAACACAATCCTTCCCGTCTACGTGTGTAAAATAAAGTGACACCTAATGGGAGTGTTGAGCATTGCAGCCAATCATCCCATCCCCCAAATATGCAGGTTAGGCCGTCCCGGATAGAGAGGAGCCGTGCTTTGTGGATAGAGAGGAGCGGTGCTCTTGGGGGGAGAGAGGAGCGTTGCATGACAGCTGACATATTCATCAAAGGGGTGAAGTCTCCCAGGTGATGTATTTAACTCTTTATGGTCATATTGTGGTGACAACTCAACATTTGGCAATATTCCTTTACTTTCACTCTACCTGACAACACTAAACAGGACAAAGACCGAAGAAAAACGCTGCAATCCTCATTGTCCAAAATGGAAAACCTTTCTTGTTTGTTTATTTGTGTTTTCTGTACTTTAAATAATCTGTGCATTTTCAATCCTGCCCTCAATGCCACATGAAAAAAACAAACAACAAACAGTCGTGTGTGTGTGTGTGTGTGTGTGTGTGTGGGGGGGGGGGGGGGGGGGGGGGGGGGGGGTTACATATCTTCCCTGTCACTTCTAGGGCCCTAGGCCATGGCTTATCTGGGGAGGGGATTGTATCCGGATTAGAATCATTGTAACAAGTGAATCCTGTCGGCGATACTTTGTTGTTTTCAGGTCCATCGTTTGGTGTATTCCCTTCTTGTCGGGGCAATTCTTTCTCCTTGGACTGAGGAGAAGGGAACACCCTGGAGGCTTTTACATGTTAGTACAAAGAAAGAGAAGTGTCAGGGTCAGTAGACATGTGTTGGTCTTAGAGGAACCCCACCGCTCATTCCCCTCCAAATAGCCGACATTTCCTCTCCACATTCCCCACATGATAGACAAGAATGGGTTTTGCAGCAAACTTCCTATTCCTGAAATGATCTCTCAGGGAATCCAAATGTGATGGATTGACTTCCATCACTGAAAGCATCAAATCCTATTGTAGATCCGATGGAGGATTCCGAGCAAACCTCCCCCCTGAGCAGTCTATGGAGCTGTGGAGGGAAATGCGGCAATCAAGTCATTGGCAGGATTTTGGCTCTCAATGTCCATTTGTGATGATGATCCAATAATGACCCCTAGGCCATGACACCTGACACCCTGTAATGGGCGGAGCCCTTTGTATCTGTCCCAATGTCTGCCATGACATGACACAAGGATCTCCTGTGATCGGCCGATGTTTTTTTTCCCGGCTCCTTGTAGTCAGCTAGAGATGAGCGAGTGTGTGTATTAGAGGGAAATGTTTGGCGATCTCCCCTCTTCCCTCGTGTAATGTGAAGCGGATGGTAGTGGGGGGATGGGAGCAGATTGTTTTGTGGGTAGAATGTGTCCCCCCCAAGCAGGTAGAAAGGCAGAATGGGCCCCCCACTCCGGAGGATGGTTGTGTTTGTGCAGCCTCTGTGTTCAGCCTCGTGAGCAGCTCCTGACAGCTGGAAGTGAGCCCCGATAAGTGACAGTCCAGGGAGCAGATCGGCTCCCCGGTGCACATCGGAACATCGTTCTATTTCGGAATAAAAATCGTTTTTATATCTACCGGGAAAACACATGAAGGGAGAGAATATACTCCAACACTGGAATGACCAGCCAGTGGGCGTGTCTGTTTTGTAACCAATAGCAGGACAGATGTCGAATTGCGTGTCAACCAATCGCAGTGTTAGAAGGTCTGTATATAAGGCGGAGCGCCGTGTGATTTGTAATGAACTATTGTGGAAACATTTCCCGAGTCATGACGGAGACTGAGAGCGTCCCAGCCGCCGCTCCTCCAGCGGAGGCCGCCGCCAAGAAGAAGCCGGCTAAGAAGGCGTCAGCCGGAGGAGGAGCCAAGAAAGGCATCAAGAAGGCGTCCGTCCCGGCGTGTCCGAGCTCCTCGTCCAAGCCGTGTCCGCTTCCAAGGAGCGCAGCGGGGTGTCCCTGGCCGCCCTCAAGAAGGTCCTGTCCGCCGGAGGATACGATGTGGAACAAGAACAAGAGCCGCCCTGAAGATCGCCCTCAAGGCGCTGGTGACTAAGGGGAGCCTCGTCCAGGTCAAAGGCCATGGGCCTCCGGATCGTTCAAGATCAACAAGAAGCAGCCCGAGGGCGCCAAGGCGAAGCCCAAGAGACCGGCCGCCGCCAAGAAGAGCAACAAGAAGCCATCGGCTGCGGCCAAGCCCAAGAAACCGGCTGCCAAGTCCCCCAAGAAGAAGGCGGCCGGCAAAGCCTCCACCGCAGCCAAGAGCCCCAAGAAGAAGCCGGCCGCCAAGAGACCAGCAAAGGCTGCAGCCAAGAAGGTGACCAAGAGCCCCAAGAAGAGCAAAGCTGCAGCCAAGCCGAAAAAAGGCTCCAAGAGTCCCGCTAAGGCCAAGCCGGCAGCTAAGAAGGCGGCTAAGCCCAAGAAGGCCCAGCTCCGAAGAAGAAATAATGGGCGGCGACCTCCTTCATCTCCACCCCCCAAAAGGCTCTTCTCAGAGCCCCCCACCTCCCCCCAACAGAGAGCTCTCCATACATACACGACCACGAGCCGCATTCTCCCTCCTCACATTGTACACTTGTCCCTCATAGCTCATCCAATGATTCCTCCGATCCTACAAATGATTACTGGTTGGCCAAAGGAGAGATCCCTCCCGATACATTTCACAGGCCTGACCCCCCCCACACCGACTGTCCTATGCGGATTGGAGATCTGTGTTCATTTCCCGCACACTGTCTGTGGGATGGGGGGGGGGGGGTGGTAACAATGAAACATTTCCCGCACACTGTCTGTGGGATGGGGGGGGGAGGGGTAAACAATGAACATTTCCCGATCCTTCTACAAGGAATTCCCAGCCTTCATTATTATTGCGGCCATTGTGGAAGTTGTACGGAAACGCCATGTAATGATCGGGGACACAGCCTCCTCTCTGGACGGGATCTAATGATCGCACCGAGAACATCGTGTTGTGCGGACAATGGACTCCTTCCTATGGATGGATCGCCTCTACAACACAACACGGGGAGCGGCTTTCCAGGTGCCATTTGGAGGAAAACAACCGATCTTCGGGTTCTGCGAGTCTCCGGGGAAAATCCGCTACAGTCTGCTCTGCTATTGGCTGACAGATAAACGCCGAATGTTCTGATTGGTGGAGAGGAATATTTTTAAATGTCCCGCCAAAATTTACAGATTAATGAATTATATTTTCTATAGAAAAAAAAAACCGGCCGGGGCGGCACACATGGAGAGAGAGAAGAATCCTCCCGGTGTGTCCGTGTGCCTCCCCGGCAGAGCGATGTGATCTGTGATGACCCCGATGTAGGATCGGAGGAGGTAAGAGGACATGACTGACCCCCAAATAGTGACATCTCCGTGTGGAAGGGGCCCATTCGGATGGATCTCATTGTGTCTCACATTCCATGACTAGTTATGAGAGTTTTATAAATGAATAATAAACCAGTAAAGGAATGCCGGTCCCGGGGCGCCGAGAGGAGGAATTGCCCGATTCCCCCGATAACTTGTATTATAGATTCCTGTCTATCCTATTCATTGTAGTTCGGTAGTGTAGAGCTCTGTGTGGGGGGAGGTTGTGGGCTCTGAGAAGAGCCGTTGGTTGTTGTGTGGAAATGTCTGTTGCGGGGGGTCTAGGCCCTCTCTCCGCGGATGCGGCGTGCCAGCTGGATGTCTTTGGGCATGATGGTGACCCTCTTGGCGTGGATGGCGCAGAGGTTGGTGTCCTCGAAGAGTCCGACGAGATAAGCCTCTGCGGCCTCCTGCAGAGCCATGACGGCGGAGCTCTGGAAGCGCAGGTCGGTCTTGAAGTCCTGGGCGATCTCTCGGACGAGGCGCTGGAAGGGCAGCTTGCGGATGAGCAGCTCGGTGGATTTCTGGTAGCGGCGGATCTCTCGGAGAGCCACGGTGCCGGGCCTGTAGCGGTGAGGCTTCTTCACTCCGCCGGTGGCAGGGGCGCTCTTGCGGGCGGCTTTGGTGGCCAGCTGCTTGCGGGGAGCTTTCCCTCCGGTGGACTTACGGGCGGTCTGCTTGGTACGGGCCATCTCTACTCCTCTCTTGCCGGGAACTGCGAATGTAATGCGCCTCCGCTCTGCACAGCTATTTATACACATCCCTGCCCTCTGATTGGACAGTGAACGCACACCTCTTGCTCCTCAATGGTTAAACTTAAAAAGCGCCTTTTTTTTTACTTTCCCGCCTAGATCTGCTCGTTCCATTGTTAGAAGAGCCCGCGCTTTGTTCTCACATGCACAGTGAAGTCTCCGCCCATCACACAATGCTCGGAGATCGCCGAAGTCCTTCGATGGGGATTTCTATCAGATGATACAGCGTGGGCGGGGTTTCCACACTGACCAGCTGTTGTCTGTTTTCCAAATACACAGCCCGGCGATCAGTCTCAGTGGGAGCCGCGCATGCTCACTTCCTATTGGTCTCGGTATAGATCTGAATTACAAAGAACACTTTCTAGAAGCCCCGAATGTCATCATCTATATTGGGGATCGGGAAGGGGGATTGTGGGGGCGGGGCTCTCCCGTCTCCAGACTCCGTCATCTCTATTGTTCCACTCCGCTGCCTAGAGGTCATTCCGGGAACATCGCCTCCTCTGGACACAAAGGGAAGTGTGTGTGGAAAGTGAGGATGAAATGTTACCAGATGAGGAAACGAGGCACGTGGTGTGCAGGTGGCTGTGACGGCGAGGAAGCAGACAGGCTGTACATGAGCTGGATAGAGTTCCTGGTCCTCCTAGTAATCAATGAATCCCTCACTGTTCTCTGTGGATGAAGGTCCCATCTCCACTATAAAGCCCATAGGATCACTGCCACTGCAATCTTCTCCATGTTATGGGGACTCAATGACACCATACACGTGATTGGAGGAAGTCTGGCAGGATGTGTTCTCCCACCTTCTACATCATGAATGAGGTGCTTGTGGCAGAATTAATAGAGGACATTGCTGTCTTAGTCTGCTACACCAATCTTTATATAAACCAGGGATGCCTTGAGGCTTCTTCAAGGGTTCTCAGAGGCTTATTCAGGGCTGCCTTGGCAAAATGTCTACAAATTATCCAAAGCTTGTATACAAGCCAGCAAGCCAGCGGTAGAACTAGCTTGCCTTTTAGTTACAGAAAGCTACAGGTTTTCATTGTGCTCCATTATGGCCTTGTAGCCACCGGCGTCCTGACAACCAATGACATCATTAATTGGTAAGGAGGATGTCCATTGCCTGCACATCATCCTAGTACCCTCCCCCGCCTCTCTCCATCAGTGCTGAAGTCACATTAGCTCAGTGATGGTGAAAAACTGAGGGAGAAGAGAAACATTGGAATACTAGTCGGGTACCAGTGTGCACAAGTGTATTTGCTTTGGAAGAATAAATCACCTGTAATGTGGGGTGTTCTACATGTGTGGGTGTTGCTGTGTTATATAAAACTGAAATAGTTTTTCAGATTTTAGAATGGGGTGCCTTGGGAGCAGTGGCGTCCCGAGGCATGTGCGGGAGGTGCTGCCCTCTCTGGGTGACACCGACCACACGGGGGTGACACTGGACCCTCTCCACAAAAAGGGAAGTTGTAAAGCAAGCCGGCGATCCCCACAGGATGGATCCGATCCATCCTGCAGGGATAATCATCTTTCTTTACAACTTACCTTTTCTTGGAGCGAGTCCGGTGTCACCCCATATAGGTTGCATGCTGACGATTCTGCGGGGATCATCGACATGCAACCTATACGGCGTGACACCGGACTCGCTCCAAGAAAAGGTAAGTTGTAAAGAAAGCCGACGATCCCCGCAGGATGAATCAGATTTGCGGATTGAGCAAAATGGATCGGAGCCTGATCCATTATGCTCAATCCGCAGATCTGATCCATTCTGCGTGGATCGTTGAAGGGGGTGTCAGGGGAGGATTGACCATTCAGGCATTCCGGCATTGCCCGAGGGCCCAGGGTCTTTAGGGGGCCCCATGAGATGCCCTTGGTACCTTTCATAGGCTTTTTTGGGTGTGGTTTGAGTGTGGGCAAGGACACAGGGGCCCCTTGATTTCCTATTGTCTGGGGGCCCCATGAGTTGTCAGTCCGCCCCTGGGGGGTGTCACCACACTGGGTGACACCAACCCTAGGGATGCCTCTGCTCGGGACTATCCATAATTTTAAAGGGTGCCTTGAGTGAAAAAAGGTTACGACACATTGTACTAGATCAGTGGTTCTTAACCTGGGTTTCGATCGAACCCCAGGGGTTCGGTGAGTCAGTCTTGCGGGTTCGGCGGAGGTGAAGACCCACACCCGACTCATATGATTTGTGATGACATGCCCCGCTTGTCCATCATTGGCTGCAGGTGGTCACGCAACATCGCTTAGCCCAGTGGTCGGCAAGCCGCGGCTCGCGAGCCACATGCGGCTCTTTACATGCTTTAATGCGGCTCTTGTGTGCCGGGCGCCCGCTCCCCTCCCTCCTCTCGGGCGGCAGGGACTCAGCAGCGTGATCCACAAAAAAAAAAACAGCCAGGGCAGCGCGCTCAAATGCAATGATTGGCCAGTCTCGCTGCCACTCACATCCTGATAGCCAGTGATTGGCTGTAAGGATGTGTGTAGGCGGGGCAGCGTGACGAACGTGAGAGGAGCTAGGCTCCTCTCACAGTCCGCCCTGAAGACCGGAACGGCGCGGGAATACGGCGAGAGGAACGCGCGGAGCAAAGGTAAGTGAATTGACACAGGGGGGACTTGGCTTACTACTTGCTACTTACTTACTACTACTATATAAGGGATGAATTCATATGGGGGATGAATTACTATATGGGGGATGAATTACTATATAAGGGATGAATTAATATGGGGGATGAATTACTATGGGGGATGAATTACTATGGGGGATGTATTACTATGGGGGATGAATTACTATATGGGGGATGAATTACTATATGGGGGATAAATTACTATATGGGGGATGTATTACTATGGGGGATGAATTACTATATGGGGGATGAATTACTATGAGGGATGAATTGCTATGGGGGATGAATTACTATATGGGGGATGTATTACTATGGGGGATGAATTACTATATGGGGGATGAATTACTATGAGGGATGAATTGCTATGGGGGATGAATTACTATATGGGGGATGAATTACTATGGGGGATGAATTACTATATGAGGGATGAATTACTATGGGGGATGAATTACTATAGGGGGGATGAATTACTATGGGGGGATGAATTACTATAGGGGGGATGAATTACTATGGGGGATGAATTACTATATGGGGGATGAATTACTATAGGAGGATGAATTACTATAAAACAGTGGTTCTTAACCTCGATCGATCGAACCCCAGGGGTTCAGTGAGTCAGTCTCGCGGGTTCGGCAGAGGTGAAGACCCACACCCGACTCATATGATTCGTGCAGGAAATATTCATTATTATGTTTTTGTTTTTGTGTGAAAATCATGTTTTAATGGTTTTGTTCTTTGTTCTTAACGGTTTTGTTCATTTTGTGCACCTATGTATAAATATATATCTATGTTTTGAATTTTAAAAATCATATTTTATTTTTCCAATTAAGAAGGGTTCGGTGAATGCGTATATGAAACTGGTGGGGTTCAGTACCTCCAACAAGGTTAAGAACCACTGTGCTAGACATAAAGGGATCTGACAGTTCTGTGTACAATCAGTGACTTTACAATGTCATACACCAGGGGTGGGTAACTGTAGCCCTCCAGCTGTTGTAGAACTACAAGTCCCATGAGGCATTGCAAAA